CTGCGCCGCACCGCGCCCGGCCGATCGGAGCCGTGTCCGACCACAAGGGGCGGAGCTGTCGCCGGAGATGGGTGGGTGTCCGTGATGCATTCAGGGGAACACGAGGTGTGCCGGGTTCTGAGAGGTTCTGGTTCTGCAGGGATGATCTACAACGAGGCGGACCAGGAGGTCCGAGACGCCGGCTACCAGCGCCACGCCTTTAACGTCCTGATCTCCAACCGGCTGGGCTTCCACCGCCCGCTGCCCGACACCCGCGACCCACGGTAGGTTCCGGTTTAGATCTGACCCGTTTCCGACCGGTCCTGGTTCTGACCTGGTTCCGGCCCGTTCCCAGGTGCCGTCAGAAGGCGTACCCTTCGGCGCTCCCGGCCGCCAGTATCGTGATCTGCTTCTTCAACGAGGCGCCGTCCGCCCTGCTCAGGACCGTCCACAGCATTCTGGACCGAAGCCCCGCCCACCTGCTGCACGAGGTCATCCTAGTGGACGACCACAGCGAGCTGGGTACCCACCGCCCGGTCCCGACCCGGCTCCGGCCCGGATCCGGCCCGGATCCCACCTGCTAAGGCTGCCTGTGTTCTGCTGCAGAAGAGCTGAAGGACGAGCTGGACCGGTACCTGAGGACGGAGCTACAGGGCAAGGTCCGATTGGTCGGAACCAGCAGAGGGAGGGGCTGATCCGGGGACGAATGATCGGAGCCGCCCACGCCACAGGTAAGCGAGCCCCCCCCGCCCCCTTGGGTACAGCCTGGATGGTGCCACGCTAAGCCCCGCCCCTCGGTGCTCCAGGTGAGGTCCTGGTGTTCCTGGACAGCCACTGCGAGGTGAACGAGGCGTGGCTGCAGCCGCTGCTGGCGCCGGTGCAGGCGGACCGCCGTACCGTGGTCTGCCCCGTCATCGACATCGTCTCCGCCGACACGCTGGCGTATTTCGCCTCGCCCATCGTCCGCGGCGGCTTCAACTGGGGCTGCACTTCAAGTGGGACCCGGTGCCGCCGGCCGAGCTCAGCGGGCCCGACGGCGCCGCCGACCCTTCAGGTAACTCGGAACATGCGGCACCAGGTGACCTTCGGGTGTCCATGACCCCTGATCTCTCCCCTGCCCCTAGGTCTCCCACCATGGCGGGGGGATTGTTCGCCATGGACAGGAAGTACTTCTTCGAGCTGGGCCAGTACGACGGTGGCATGGACATTTGGGGAGGAGAGAACCTGGAGATCTCCTTCAGGGTGAGCGCTGAGTTTCACAGAGTGTCATTGAAGGCGCCGGCGCTGACGGCGGCGCTGTGGTTTCAGATCTGGATGTGCGGCGGCCACTGCTGATCGTCCCGTGCTCCAGGGTGGGACACATCTTCAGGAAGCGGCGGCCGTACGGCTCACTGGAGGACAGGATACCATGGCCCATAATCCTTGCGGCTGGCGCATGTCTGGATGGATGACTTCAAGTTCCTGGCCTCACTTCCTGTCCCTAACCTAACTTCCTGTCTTTGACCTCACTTCCTGTCTTTGACCTTACTTCCTGTCTGATCTCACTTCCTGTCCCTAACCTCACTTCCTGTCTCTGACCTCACTTCCTGTCTGACCTCACTTCTTGTCTTTGACATCACTTCCTGTCTGCCCTCACTTCCTGTCCCTGACCTCACTTCCTGTCTGACTTCACTTCCTGTCTTTGACATCACTTCCTGTATTTGGCCTCACTTCCTGTATTTGGCCTCACTTCCTGTCTCTGACCTCACTTCCTGTCTCTGACCTCACTTCCTCTGGCCCCTTCAGGAGCAGTACCTGGCGCTGCGACCTGAGCTGCGTAACCGTGATTACGGTGACATCAGCGAGCGCGTGGCGTTGAGGAAGCGGCTGCAGTGTCGCTCGTTCCGCTGGTATCTGGACGCCGTTTACCCCGAGATGCAGGCCGTCGCCAACGGCAACAAGCAGGCGCCTCCGTTGGTCCACAAAGGCCTGAGGCGGCCCAAAGTCCTGCAGCGGCCGGGTACCTGAACGCGACGCGCGCCGCGACCTCCGACCCCGCCGCAGGCTCTCACCCTCTCTGTGTCTTTCAGCTGCGTAACCTAGCGACCGGACGCTGCCTGGTGGCGCAGGGGGGGGTCAGCCAGAAGGGCGGCGCCGTCGTCCTGAGGCCGTGTAACCACGGAGACCCGGAGCAGGTGAGAAAAGCGTTTAGGCGCCATCTGACCCCTTGACCTCTGTCAGTCGCACATTGACCCTCTGACCTCTGCAGGACTGGTCGTACGACGAGGACGGGCAGCTGGTTCTGGCCGGCCTGCTGTGCCTGGACGTGTCGGAGGTCAGGACCTCTGACCTCCCGCGGCTCATGAAGTGTCACGGCTCAGGGGGGTCGCAGCAGTGGAGCCTGGGGGTGAGGTTCTGATGGTGGCGTCTCTGACCCGGTTCTGACCCGGCTCTAACCCGGTTCTGACCCGGCTCTGACCCGGTTCTCACCTGGTGCTGACCCGGCTCTGACCCGGTTCTCACCCGGTTCTGACCCGGTTCTCACCTGGTGCTGACCCGGTTCTGACCCAATTCTGACCCGGTTCTCACCTGGTGCTGACCCGGCTCTGACCCGGTTCTGACCCGGTTCTCACCTGGTGCTGACCCGGTTCTGACCCGGTTCTCACCCGGTTCTGACCCGGTTCTCACCTGGTGCTGACCCGGCTCTGACCCGGTTCTGACCGGTTCTCACCCGGTTCTGACCCGGTTCTCACCTGGCTCTGACCGGTTCTGACCCGGCTCTAACCCGGTTCTGACCCGGCTCTGACCTGGTGCTGACCCGGCTCTGACCCGGCTCTGACCCGGCTCTGACCCGGCTCTTTCTCCCCAGAAGGCCAACCGGCTCTACCAGGTCTCTGTGGGTCAGTGTCTCGCCGTTTCCCGTCCAGCCGGACCGAAGGGCTATGTTGCCATGGCGATCTGCGACGGCAGCGAGCTGCAGCAGTGGCAGCTGGAGGGCTGACGAACCGGCGGGTCCGGTGGGACAAGGTTCTGGTTCCGGTTCTGGTTTTTAACTGTAGTTTTTACTGAAGGAACATTCTGATCTTTGCTGCTTTTAATCTCTAATAAAAGGTTCTGAACGTCTCGCCATGTCTGTCCTTCAGAACCGCCCGGGTTCTGATCCAGCTGTCAGATCGACTAGAACCTGCTGGTTCTGACTGGGTATCTGCTCAGACTCTTTGGGTCTGATCAGAACCTGCTGTTCCTCTTATGGACCAGCAGAGGGCAACTCAATCTGACTCAGTCTCCGTTTTCCCAAAGCCTGGTTCTGGTTTCCTCCTGAGACCCGGTTCCTACAGCAGAGCCTGATTCCAGCTGAGGTTCTGATGGTTCTGTCCAGTGGAGCCGTGCGCCTTCAGAACCGCTCTGGCTCCGCCCCCTCAGTCAGCAGGTTAATGAGCCATCAGGCAGTCAGAGCAGCCGCCGTCTGATTGGACGTCGAGACTCGATCGATTCCCATTACAGACCCGACCTGGAGTAGGGTGGTGTGAGGGCGCCGTGTGGCGCCGTGTGGCGCCATGTGGCGCCGTGTGTCTGATGCATTGTGGGAACCATTTTCCTGACATGTCGTTTCATTTCCTTGGTCCTATGAGGGGAAACTGTTTTGGGTTCAGGGTTCAGAATAAAGGCAGGGATTGAGGTTCAGCTGCAGAAATGAATGGAAGTCAATGGAACGTCCCCACAAACTGTGTGTGTGTGTGTGTGTGTGTGTGTGTGTGAGTGCGGGTGTGTGTGTGGGTGTGTGTGTGCGTGGGTGTGTGTGTGTGGCGGGTCTGTGTGTGTGTGTGTGTGGGTGTGTGGGGTGTGTGTGTGGTGTGTGTGGGTCTGTGTGGGTGTGTGTGTGTGTGGGTGGGTGTGTGTGTGGGTCTGTGTGTGTGTGTGTGTGTGGGTGTGTGTGTGTGTGCGTGGGTGTGTGTGTGGGTGGGTGGTGTGTGTGTGTGGGTGTGTGTGTGTGGGTCTGTGTGTGTGGGGTGTGTGTGTGTGGGTCTGTGTGTGTGTGTGGGGTGTGTGTGTGTGTGGGTGTGTGTGTGTGTGCGTGGGTGTGTGTGTGGGTGTGTGTGTGGTGTGTGTGTGTGGTGGGTGTGTGTGTGTGTGTGTGTGTGTGCGGGTCTGTGTGTGTGTGCGGGTGTGTGTGTGTGTGTGGGTGTGTGTGTGTGTGTGTGGGTGTGTGTGTGTGGGGTCTGTGTGTGTGTGTGTGTGTGTGCGGGTCTGTGTGTGTGAGTGCGGGTGTGTGTGTGTGTGTGCGGGTCTGTCTGTGTGTGTGGTGTGTGTGTGTGTGTGTGGGTGTGTGTGTGCGGGTGTGTGTGTGTGTGTGTGTGGTGGGTGGTGTGTCGGGTCTGTGTGTGTGTGTGTGTGGGTCTGTGTGTGTGTGTGTGTGTGTGTGTGCGGGTGTGTGTGTGCGGGTGTGTGTGTGTGTGTGTGTGTGTGTGTGTGCGGGTCTGTGTGTGTGTGTGGGTGGGTGGTGTGTGTGCGGGTCTGTGTGTGTGTGTGTGTGTGCGGGTGTGTGTGTGTGTGTGTGTGTGCGGGTGTGTGTGTGTGTGTGTGTGGGTCCAGTCGGTCTCTGTGAAGCGGTTCTGATGACCTGTTTCTAAAGATACTCTCAAAAATGAACAGATATAATTTGGGTTATTAACTGTGAAAAAAGGGGATTAATTTTTCAGTAATTTTTATCAGCTGATGCATTTCTAAATGTCATTGTTTCAAACTAAACAATCTCACAGCATAAATATTTGCATAATAAATGTTTGACTCTCTTAATGAGTTAGCTGTAAGCTAAAGATTTAGCTAGCTCAGAAAAGAGGCGACATTAGCCAGAGCTTATAAAGAAGTTGAGTATTTCTTAAAAAGAACAAAGCAAAGGTCTTCTGGTCAACAATAAACTGTCCAACATAAGAGGAATAACAATTTCTAATTCATAACGAGGGTTAGGGACATTTTGTCACCTGAAGCTGAACATCTGGAGCTTCATGTGTAAAACACACACAAAACTGCGGCCCATTTTACACAGAAGTCAGCATATAAAAATGAACCTGAAGTGAAAATGTTCAGCAAGTTTTTCTGTGGACAAAACCAAACTACAAACATCAAAACTCACATAAACCCACTGAAACCTGAAGACCTCTCTTATTCCTCCGTCCTGGACCAATCAGAGAGCTGGAAGTAGACTGGACCGGGTCACCTGAACTTACCCACCCCACTAGACCTGATGGTTCTGGATGGGTCTGTGGTTCTGCAGCCTGGAGCTTCATCCTCCTCCTCTTCCTCTCAGGTTTCCTTTAATTACTTTAAGAGTGCGCGTGCGCGGCGGATCGATCCGCTCAGGAAGTGTTGCTGCAGACATCAGAGGAGCCGCTCCGCCAACGATCGGATGCAGCAGCCAATCAGCAAACAGCAGGGGGGATGCGGGGCGGCCAGCTGAGGCTCGGATCGATGCGGGAGGAGGAGACACCGCAGAGCCTCAGCTCCTCTTCCTCCTCTTCCTCAGCTCGGCTCAGAGCGGAGAGGAGCCACGCGGAGCAGGACGCCGAGCCGCGGGCTTTTATTCTGAAAAACTCAACAAAACATGCTGCTGCTACTGCTGGGCGTCGTCATGGTAACGGCAGGGTCAGGGGTCAGCGCGGCGCGGGTGGTGAGCGGTGAGTTACAAACCGACCTTCATCACCTCATCATCTTCATCAAACACCTGGCTGCAGCGTAGCAGGTCAGAACCGGGCCAGAACCGCTCAGAGGTTCTGGTTCATCAGCTGGTTACAGAACCTCAGTAACCAGCTGGTTCCGCTCAATCAGAACCGGTTCTGGATGAGAATCTGAGCTGCAGGACGATCCGCAGACTCAGCAGATCCAGCGAGGTTCTGGTTCCGTTCCACCTCCGTCACAGAGACGAACGGTTCTGAAACCCAGAACTGCTGAAGAGAAGAGAAAGTGATGATGAGGCAGGAGAAGAAATCAGAGAGAGAGGAAGAGGAGACACACACACACACACTGATACACACACACACTGATACACACACACACACTGATACACACACACACTGACACACACTGATACACACACACTGATACACACACACACACTGATACACACACTGATACACACTGATACACACTGATACACACTGATACACACACTGATACACACTGATACACACACTGATACACACACACACTGATACACACTGATACACACTGACACACACTGACACACACTGATACACACTGATACACACTGACACACACTGATACACACAGATACACACTGATACACACACACACTGACACACACACTGATACACACTGATACACACACTGATACACACACACACTGATACACACTGATACACACACTGATACACACACACACTGATACACACACACTGATACACACTGACACACACTGATACACACTGACACACTGATACACACAGATACACACTGATACACACACACACTGACACACACACTGATACACACTGATACACACACTGATACACACACACACTGATACACACTGATACACACACTGATACACACACTGATACACACACTGATACACACAGATACACACTGATACACACACACACACTGATACACACTGACACACACACACTGATACACACTGACACACACTGATACACACACACACTGATACACACTGACACACACTGATACACACTGACACACACTGATACACACTGATACACACTGATACACACACTGATACACACACTGATACACACACTGATACACACACTGATACACACACTGATACACACAGATACACACTGATACACACACACACACTGATACACACTGATACACACAGATACACACTGATACACACACACTGATACACACTGACACACACACACACTGATACACACAGACACACACTGATACACACACACACTGATACACACTGACACACACTGATACACACTGACACACACTGACACACACTAATACACACTGATACACACTGATACACACACACACACTGATACACACTGATACACACTGATACACACACACACACTGATACACACACTGATACACACTGATACACACACACACACTGATACACACACTGACACACACTGATACACACTGACACACACACACACTGACACACACTGATACACACACACTGATACACACTGACACTGCTTGTGTTTCTGCCTTTGCATCTCTATGCTATTGTTTTCTATGCTATGCTATTGTTTTCTATGCTATGCTATTGTTTTCTATGCTATGCTATTGTTTTCTACGCTATGCTATTGTTTTCTACGCTATGCTATTCTGTTTTATTTCATTCTCCAGCTAAACTCCGGAGTTTTTGGCTCCATGTTTCTCAGCTCCAGTCCTCAGAGTTCACTGAAGGGTTAGAACTGCGAAACCGTCTGACCCCTGACCCTAAATAAGGGTATCTGCCATATCAGGACGAGCTTTGGGCCCAAAAGGCCCATCGGTTGGGGTTTGGGTCACAGACACTCACCCTGCTCTCCACCTGCAGCTCTGACTGGCAGCTTTGTGGGCGGGGCTTGTCTGCAGGCCAGACGGTGTGTGTGGGCGGAGCCGACCGTCCCTGCTACAAGATGGCGTATTTCCACGACGTGTCGAGCCGCGTGGCGTTCGGTGAGGCGAAGCAAGCCTGCCTCATGGACGGGGGGGCGCTGCTGAGCGTGGAGAGCCAATCAGAGCAGAGCGACGTGGAGCATCTGCTGCAGGTGAGACGAACACCTGCAGCTGTCAGGTGTGAAGGCGCTTTGGAAATAAGACCCACTGAGCCGTCCCTCCTCCAGGCGCTGCGTTTAGGAGCAGTGGGCGGAACCAAAGGTGGAGGCGGGATTTCTGACGGGGATTTCTGGATCGGCCTGACGCGGGGGAGCGGAGCCAACCACACCTTGACCCCGTGCCCTGACCTGTACCAGTGGACCGATGGCAGCGTGGCCACCTTCAGGTGAGACTTTCTTCTCCCACCTGGACGGTTTCCAAAATGCTATTGCCGGTACCCATAGTGACCCCGCTCCAGGAACTGGTACCTGGACGAGCCGTCGTGCGGCGGCGAGGCCTGCGTCGTCATGTACCACCAGCCCAGCGCGCCCGCAGGTCTGGGTGGGGCTTATCTCCACCAATGGAACGACGACCGCTGCAACATGAAGCACAACTTCATCTGCAAGTATCAGCCAGGTGAGACCGGCCAGGTGTGTGGGCGGGGCTACCTGCAGCTGTCTAACCTGGGCTTCTCTTTGCCCTCAGCTGTGACTGCAGGCGGAGGTGTGGTGACCCAGGCGGATGGCGGTGGCAGCTTACCACCTCAGGTGGTTGTGGCAGGATCTTCATCTTCAGGTACGATCACTTGTGGCCTCTGCCCTCCTGTGATGTCACGGTGACATCACGCTGTGTTTCAGGAATCCTGTTGCTGTACGTGGTGATCCCCACCATCCCGCTGCTGCTGCTCATCCTGGTGGCTTCAGGGACCTGCTGCCTCCAGACGCTCACCAGGAGGTAGGACTACATCTCCCAGCATGCCTCTGGCTATTAGACACACTTCCTCCAGAACCGTGGCCTGTTCCTTTAAGGGAGCCACCTATAGATGGATTCCTGCTCCAACACACCTGGACCACGGAATGCCTCAGGATGAGTTGCTGCTGTAGAGGGTTAGCCTAACATTAGCCTGGTCAGTGTTAGCTTGGTCCACATTAGCCTGGTCAGTGTTAGCTTCGTCCCTGTTAGCTAGGTCCAGATTAGTCTGGTCAGTGTTAACTTGGTCCAGTTAGCCTGGTCAGTGTTAGCTTGGTCCAGTTAGCCTGGTCAGTGTTAGCTTGGTCCACATTAGCCTGGTCAGTGTTAGCTTGTTCCACATTAGCCTGGTCAGTGTTAGCTTGTTCCACATTAGCCTGGTCAGTGTTAGCTTGTTCCACATTAGCCTGGTCCGTGTTAGCTTGGTCCACATTAGCCTGGTCAGTGTTAGCTAGGTCAGTGTTAGCTAGGCCACATTAGTCTGGTCAGTGTTAGCTTGGTCCAGTTAGCCTGGTCAGTGTTAGCTTGGTCCACATTAGCCTGGTCAGTGTTAGCTTGTTCCACATTAGCCTGGTCAGTGTTAGCTTGTTCCACATTAGCTGGTCAGTGTTAGCTTGTTCCACATTAGCCTGGTCCGTGTTAGCTTGGTCCACATTAGCCTGGTCAGTGTTAGCTAGGTCAGTGTTAGCTAGGTCCACATTAGTCTGGTCAGTGTTAGCTTGGTCCAGTTAGCCTGGTCAGTGTTAGCTTGGTCCACATTAGCCTGGTCAGTGTTAGCTAGGTCCACATTAGTCTGGTCAGTGTTAGCTTCGTCCCTGTTAGCTAGGTCCAGATTAGTTTGGTCAGTGTTAACTTGGTCCAGTTAGCCTGGTCAGTGTTTAGCTTGGTCCCACATTAGCCTGGTCAATGTTAGCTTGGTCCAGTTAGCCTGGTCAGTGTTAGCTTGTTCCACATTAGCCTGGTCCATGTTAGCTAGGTCCACATTAGTCTGGTCAGTGTTAGCTTGGTCCACATTAGCCTGGTAGGTGTTAGCTTCGTCAGTGTTAGCTTGGTCCAGTTAGCCTGGTCAGTGTTAGCTTGGTCCAGTTAGCCTGGTCTGGGTTTTAAAGACACAGTTATTAATAAAAATTTTTGACATATTTCGATTATTAGAACTTGTTTTGTCCCGATTGATCTGGACACAGCAGTGATTGGTTGAGGTTTGCCATGACGATATATAGCTGTCGTCAATGTTACAGGAAGCTGATCCTGACGACTCCACATAGCTGCAACGTGTAAATTAAAAAGTAAAAACAAATGCTTGGGGATGCTGTAGTTAGCATCATGGATCTGGAAGCAACATTTATCAATTACTGATCAGAATGCTCAAATCAATAAAAATAGATTTGGTGCTGCTCTCTGCCTCCTTCCCATTTTATTTTGAAAATCTTGGTGTAACCTCTGCGATTGGTCACTGAGCACCAACAATGTCATCCTGTCTCTCCAGTCGTCCTCGGACCAAGACCCCTGACCAATCAAACCTCTGGATCGCCACGACGCCCAAACCCGACACCATGGAAGTGTGACGTCACTGTGACTCGACAGCAGATCAGTGATGTCACGTTTTAATTTGTTACTTTGGCTGAAACTGTTTCCTGTTTGGCTCCTCCCTCCTCCTGTGTCTCCCTAAGCCCGAGTTAATTAAGGGGGGTGGAGTCAGTGATGTCACAGTGAGTGGGGGGCTTGTCTGTGTAACATGTTCTGTTGTGAGAAGCTCTGGTGCCCCCTGCTGGACAGACAAGATGAAGTACGGGGCAAGCAGAGGGACAAACTCTGGTTACTGATGCTGCGTTCGAGGACAGTCCGACGTTTGGACGGCAGGGAGCTGCTGCTGCGTTTCTGATGCATGAAGCTTTGATGTTTAATAAAAGATGTTTCATCAGCTGCTGCTTGGTCTCTTTGAGTCAGCCTAGTCAAAGTCCCGACCCGACTCCAGCAGAGCATCTGCGAAACATCAGCAGAGCAGTTCTGTCCGGCAAAGGTCAAAGGTGACTCAGTAGAACTGTCCGGGTCAGATCAGAAATAAAACCTCAGCGCCGACTCAATGACCTGTCCCATGACTTTCTCTCAGAGGCCCCTTCCTGTCTGAAGACTGTCAAAATAAAGGCCTCCTTTAAAAAATAAAACCACCCAACATCAGAAGAAGGTTTTTATTTAAACGACCCGAGAGCCAGCAGAACCACGGAGATCCGAATAGAAATCCAACAAAACAATGTTCTGGCAGAAAGAAAACAGAAATAATCACTGAGGCAGAACCCGACTGGAACCAGAACCGCCAGTACCTCAGCATGACGAAGCAGCTGATGCTTCCTGATTGGTTGATCTGAGCAGCGACGCTTCAATCTGTGGTTAATCACTCCCAGTTGCCATGGAGACACTCAAACCCCAAGTTACCGTGCCAACCACAGTTGTTACGGTGTCCAAAGGACAGCAGGTTGTGCAGAGAGCAGCGTCTGGTCAGGTGGGTCCAGCTGCTCCTCATCATCACCAGCCCCGCCCACATGGTCGCGCGCTGGCCCCGCCCACATGGTCCCTGCTGGCCCCGCCCACATGGTCTGCGCTGGCCCCGCCCACATGGTCCGCGCTGGCCCCGCCCACATGGTCCGCGCTGGCCCCCCGCCACATGGTCCCTGCTGGCCCCGCCCACATGGTCCGCGCTGGCCCCGCCCACATGGTCCGCGCTGGCCCCGCCCACATGGTCCGCGCTGGCCCCGCCCACATGTTCCGCGCTGGCCCCGCCCACATGGTCCGCGCTGGCCCCGCCCACATGTTCCGCGTGGCCCCGCCCACATGGTCCGCGCTGGCCCCGCCCACATGGTCCAGCAGCTCCTCCTGCTTGTAGCTCAGCACATCGTCCTCCTCTTGGAACAGGATGGGCGGAGCCTCGCCGGCCTTGCCCATGCCCATGCATGCGCCTCTGGTGCTGCTGCAGGTTGCCGCGGCGATTGAAGCGGGCGGGGCAGAGGTCACAGGCGAACGGCCGCCCCGTGTGGATGATGATGTGCCTGGCGAGCTGCGAGCGACACTTCTTGTCTTTGCCGCAGATGTGGCAGATGAAGCTCTGTGGCGGGCGCGCCCGTCGGCGTGCACCGCCTGCCGGTGCCTCTTCAGGTGGCTGAGGCGGCGGAAGCTGCGGCTGCAGAAGTCGCAGGCGAACGGCCGCACGTCGCTGTGGACCAGAGCGTGGCTGGCCAGCAGCGAGCGGAACCGGAACGCCTTCCCGCAGACGGTGCAGGAGAAGGAGCTGGGCGAAGCGAAGCGCCGCGCCGCCTGGAGCCACGTGGCGCTCGCCCGCCGCCGCCCTGAGGTGCACTCGCAGGTGGTGCTGCCGCAGGTAGCCGGCGCGCTGGAAGCCACGCAGGCAGACGCTGCAGTGATGCAGGTTGTCGCCCCCATGAATGCGAGTGTGTTCGGTCAGCTGCGTCTCAGACTTCAGCCGCCTGCCACAGACGCCGCAGGTGAACGCCGCGCCTGGCGCCTCGTCCGGCGGCGCCCGGCCTCCATAGCGGCACGGCTGGGGGGTGCAGCAGCGCCTTGTGGCGCTTTAGCTGGTACTGGGCGAACTTGCGGCCGCAGATGTCGCAGAGGTGCGGGCGCTCGCCGGTGTGAGTCTGGAAGTGGATGGCGAGCTGCGAGCGGCACTTGAACTCCTTACCACAGAGATGGCAGAGCAGTGAGGCGGGGCGGAGCGGCGGGCCGGCCGAGCTGTGCACCACGTTCCTGTGGTGCTGCAGGTCATTGCTGCGCATGTAGGCCTTGGGGCAGAGGTCGCAGCGGAACGGCTTGACGCCAGAGTGGATGGCTTCGTGAGTCTTTAGCCGTGACCGGCAGACGAACGTCTTCCCGCAGACGGCGCACAGCCAGGCCGGCGCCAACGACCGGCGCTGGCGCCGCGCCGCGCCGTCCGGGTGCAGCCGGCTCAGGTGGTGGCGCAGGTTGTCGCGGCGGTTGAAGCGCAGCGGGCAGAGGTGGCAGGCGAACGGCTTCTTCCCTGTGTGGATGAAGGAGTGGCGCGCCAGGCTGGACTTGTTCTTCATCACCTTCCCACACACGTCACACACCGAGCTGTCCAGCTCCTGCTGCAGGCCGGGTCCAGAGTCCGGTCTGGGTCCAGAGTCCGGTCTGGGTCCAGAGTCCGGTCTGGGTCCAGAGTCCGGTCCGGGTCCAGAGTCCGGTCCGGGCTCTGACACAGCCAGAGGCCGGTCTGAGGGGACACAGAGGAGAGCATGGGTCAGATCTGAAATGGAGCTTCACCAAGCAGGTTCTGGTTCTGATCTCACCTCCCTCGGGGTCCAGGTGGGGTCACCGATGTCTTTGTCCTCCACCCCCACCTCCTCCTCCTGCTCGTCCTCCTGGGGGTCAGGTGACCGGCGGCGCGGCCGGCCCGGTCTCCCGTTGCATCTGGCTCTCTGCGGAACCGGTCTCTTCCTGGTTCTGGTGTCAGTGGGCTCATCAGAGAGTTTGGCTGCAGGTCTGATGATCCTGGTTCTGGTCCGATTCGGGACGCAGTGCTGCAGCAGCGCACCGCCGTCTGACCCGTCGGGTCGGACTGTCAGACACTGCAGCAGGTCGTCAGACGAACCTGCTGGGACAAACCGGGTTAAACTGGGCCCTGGGTTCTGACTGACAGGCTGCAGTCAAGACTCCAGGGAATAATTAAGAAGCAAACGTCTCTGCTGCCTCCTTGTGTGAGAAACACATCACTACACCTGGAAATGGAAATCTTCTGGAGAACCAGTTCTTGTTTAGTTCAATTGTTTAATTTGGGGGTGAAATGATTCCTTGAATGATTTGAGTACTTCAATTACTAAAATTTCTCAAGGAAAACATATCTGCCTGGAAGCTTCCTTAATTTATATTTTATCATTGAGCTGGCCGGGTCGTCGCTCGGCCGGGTCGTTACTTTCGTTGCTCTCACTTCCGCCTGAGTTGTTGATGAAAGCTAGCAGCAAAAGGTCCAATGTCCAGATTCAGCCTGGGAGGATTTTATCGATTCATGATAATATCCGGGTCCATAAACATCCTTAAAATGACGGAGCGATAAGTGGAGTATGGCAGCTTTCCTCTGGTTCAGAGCGACCAGCGCGGCGGATTATTAATACAGGTGAGCAGACAGACTGAACCTTTAGAGGATTAAGTTAAGTGTAACTTTACAGACGAACCAGAAAATACACTTCATATCTTGGGTGGTTTTACATACGTTTCTGTGTGACGAACGCAGGAGTTAAATGAACATGAAGCTATAAATGTCTGGGCAAGACGAGAGTTCATCTATTAAACTGACTGAAGATGAATACAGAAACCAAAAGCTGGAACATAGACCGTTTTTATGAGCCTGCCTCTTTATTACTGAACTGAATATGATTTCAGATTCTTGTAGAACTTTTTTCAGGTTAACTGATAGAGTGATCTGTTATTGTTACATGTTAATGAGAAAACTTGCGTTACCCAAAGCACAATAACACGGTTTTACCGTAGAAACGCAGTTAAACAGTTTAACCGCGTTTCTACCGTTTTGCTTCAGGTATTGTTGTTTGGGGTTTGGGAAGCAGAGCTTCATTGTCTCCAGTCAGACTCATCATTTTCCAACCAACCATGAGATGAAGGAATCTAACACACCCAGTTGGATCAGGTCCTCAGCCTGCAGAAGTGCAAACTACTTGTGCAGGTGAGGCAGGAGAAAAGCAGGAAGGAGAGAGAGGTTGTGTCTCACCTGAGTGTCTCCAGCTGAAGTTCTGACCCAGCAGGTTCTGGGTCTGACCCAGCAGGTCCACCTGGACGGCCGCCTCCCTGGTCTCGGTTCTGCAGCTCTGGCAGCCCACCTCCTTCCTCGTCCGCTCCTCTTCCTCGGGTCTCTCCCACTGGCAGCCCACCTCCCGGCTTCCTGCCTGCCTCAGCAGCAGGATGCACAGCTCCTCTCCTCCAGCAGGGGCTCCATGGCTGCTGCAGGAATGTACAGCAGAACCAGAACCACGTCAGAATCAGAACCACTGGGCAGACAGCAGGACCATGAGGAGATCTCATAGACATACAGCCTGATCCAGATAACACAGCTACAGGCTGAAGTCAGAACCGACCCAGACTGCTTTCCAACTGGACCCGACAGCAGCAGCACCAGAACCCCAGGACGTTCTGGTAACCACCGGAACTTCCTGTAACCATAGGGACGGAGGGAAGGCGCTCCACTGACAGTGGACCGGAACCAGATCCGAACCGACCCTTCCCTGGTTCTATCGCAGTCAGTAGGGTTCTGGGTCGATCGCCGGGTTCTACAAACCCTTCCGGGAGGACAGCCCGGTTCCTCTGAACCACAACCTGCAGGCTCAGGTTCGGTTCCGGTTCGTTCTAAGGGAACCTAGTTTGACCGAACCTGCGAAGGATGACCGGTTAGCTCGAAGCTAACTCACCAGGTAAGCTCACCTGACGGACGCGAGGCCATCTCCGCAGGGTTCACTGTGACGTCACACCCGGACTATTAAGATTAAAGTCCGACTCCATGTTCTGTTCAACACCGGCCCTGAGGAAACCAACCGAATCAGAACCACAACAGGCCACGCCGGGAAGTCTGCTGCTGCTGCTCTTCTTCTGCTGACCGCTTCCTGCTCGCTGCTGCCCCCGCGGCCGCGACGGGAACTACAAGCTTATTCTATACTATTACATTGTTAGAAAGTTTTCTTTTTAAATCAATTTAAATGTGAAAAAAAAATCTCTTCCACGCCCATCCATTGTCCAACACGCTTTTCCTGCAGGGTCGCTGGATTCCACACTGGAGGCCTGGAAAATTTACTGTGATGATTATTGTGATTATTAAACAGAGAAACTTCTCTTGGTTATAGAAGAGGTGGCCACCTACTCTGGCTCTACTGCCTCTTCTGGGAGGGAGAAGATTGGTTGGCATCGTCAGTTAAATCTGTAGTTGTTGCTCTGCGTTCTGCAGTGAACCGATTATGACAAACATCTGCAGTGATTTCTGCCTCATTCAATGTTAACATGAATAGGGTTAGGGTTAGGGTTAAGGGTTAAGGGTTAGGGTTAGGACCTGGCTGCTCCTCCAATGGCCGTCAAAGCAGGAAGCCAGCGTAACCATGGTGACGACCTGGAAGCATCAGGTAGAAACCAAAGTTCACCGGTCCCCAATGAATCCATTTGAATGAAGTTGTGTCTGCAACTGGTACCAGAACCGGTACCAGAGATGGTTCCTGATGAAGAATAATGAAGCTGTTAAGTGGCCTAGTCAAAGGAAAACTGGTAATTTCTGTGTATTTCATGGAGAACCAGGTTAGTTTTATAAAAGTGATGGAAAGCAGGTGGCAGCCCACCTGAACTGGACCGGACAGTGAACAATTAGAAACTGATGTGGAAATGACATGAACATTCTGGAGAACCAGAACCGGTCCGGTCCGGCATGTGTGGCCCGAACATCAGAGACTTCAGGTGGTGTGTTCAGTTTTATTGGAATCATACAACATAAATAAAAGCTTTCATTACAGTGATGTTCTTCTCAGCACCAGAACCGAGCCTTAACTGGGTCCGGTCTCGACCGGGTCAGAGTCAGAACCATTTGACTGGACCGCCGGCGCCGCTGCGGTTCTGATTCCGGAACAGGAAGATCTTCTGATTGTCAGCTTCTGTGCTTCACAAGAACGACGACAGCAAAGGAATAAATACTCCCTATGTACACTATTCACACGGACCGGGCCCACCAGGACCGGGCCCACCCGGACCGGGCCCACCAGGACCGGGCCCACCCGGACCGGGCCCACCAGGACCGGGCCCACCAGGACCGGGCCCACCAGGACCGGGCCCACCAGGACCGGGCCCACCAGGACCGGGCCCACCAGGACCGGGCCAAGGTCCACAATGAGGCCGGTCCGTCCAGTTAGTTTCAGCGATACAAAACACCAAGGAAGAAGACAGAAGATGAACACTGACCCCTGGTGTTTTCCAGGGTGAACTACGCTACTGCAACAGGCCGTTGTCATGGAAACCTGGAGCTTAAATGCCCCATGATGCCGAGCTCCTGACCAGCCGACATCAATAACTGATCAGATATTGGGTTAGGTTAAATTGATTTAGACCAGTTTGGTATGATCTGGATTAAACCGGTTTAGAACCAGTGTGATCTGGATTAAACGGTTTAGAACCAGTGTGATCTGGATTAAACCAGTTTAGAACCAGTGTGATCTGGATTAAACCGGTTTAGAACCAGTGTGATCTGGATTAAGCCGGTTTAGAACCAGTGTGATCTGGATTAAACCGGTTTAGAACCAGTGTGATCTGGATTAAACCAGTTTAGAACCAGTGTGATCTGGATTAAGCCGGTTTAGAACCAGTGTGATCTGGATTAAACCAGTTTAGAACCAGTGTGATCTGGATTAAACCGGTTTAGAACAGTGTGATCTGGATTAAGCCGGTTTAGAACCAGTGTGATCTGGATTAAACCGGTTTTAATGCCTGATGTGATCCAGGTTACATCGTGTAAACATGTTTGACCACATCACAATCTGAGATCTTTAATGGTTTCCATAGCAACCAGAGGTTCTGTTCACCAGTCTGAGGTCCGGCACCTGAACAGAACCAAAACCAGCAGAACCCAAGATCCTGCGCTCCGGTCCGATCACAGAGCCTCATAGACTGACCGTCTCTGTCTGAATGGACGGTGCTCCACATGGCTCACAGCTGGGCCCCCAGCAGAGGACTGGTCCGGCGGTCTGCAGGAAGACCGCCAAGAACCAGAATAAGGTCTTTGGATGTGTGAGGATGGCTGGAGTTCTGGAGGAACCATTTCCAACATGCATGTCTCTTTGGAATTCCATAAATAACAGAAGCAGATTTGGGTCGGGGGTAGGGTGTCAGCGCTGGTGCAGTTCTGCTGTCAACCACAAGATGGCAGCAGAACCGATGAAAGCAGGACTGGTCTGCTGAGTCATGGTTCTGATTCCTCCGAGTCAAGGTGTCCCAGTAGTGGGACGCTGTCCAGCTGCCGTCCAGGAAGACCCGGTAAGGAGGAACCGGACCTGGGCAGGATGAGGTCATCACAGGTGGGCGGAGCTTCAGTCCGGGTCTCTGCCAGGTTTACGACACAAGAAAAACCAACAAGACGACAAAGAGGACAGTCAGGGTGTCCGTCCAACCAGGCAGGACACACCTTCCTCCTCCTCTTCCTCCTGCAGCACGAGGAAGAGGAGGAGGTGATGAAGGGCGAGGCGGTCCCAGCTAAGCAGAGTTCAGGAACTCCAGAGCCACTTCATAGCAGAACTTATATTGTTCCTATGGAGACACAACATATAAACTAATAATATAAAATAATTAATAAATTCAAATAATATAACATAAAGCACAGAATGTTAAAAAGCCCCACAAAGTATTAAAAGAAACAACGACATTAATGACCTTTTAATAATAAATAATGCTAATAATTTTGAGAATAATGATAAAATAATGAAGTTTCTCAGCCTCACCAGGTCCACCATGTTGGGTTTGTTGTTTCTGAGCGTCTTGACGGCGTGGAAAACGTCCACAGAGCGCTGCTGCCTCAGCATCTCACACACGATGCTGACGCTGCAGAAGACGCCGCTGCGCCCGCCGCCGTTCCTGAGGGACACATGGAAGACATGGGGACACATGAGGGGACATGCTCAGAGAAAACAGCATCTGCTCCTCCTCTATTTCACCACAGATGGAGACAAAACATCACTGAAGACAGAGGAGACCAGCAACGGTTCTGCTGGACGAACCACCGGTACCTCCACCGGTACCACCGTTAGGTCTTCCTCAGGACGCCTGCTGTGGTTTCCAGAAGGACTCAAGATGTTTTGAGTTTGGATCAAAAATATCGGCGCAGCTTCAGCAGCAAAAGCCGTTAACACATGGAGTACCATGTAGTACTGCGTAGTACGTGTAGTACTGCGTAGTACCGTGTAGTACTGCGTAGTACCGTGTAGTACTGCGTAGTACCGTGTAGTACTGCGTAGTACAGTGTAGTACAGTGTAGTACTGCGTACGTACCGTGTAGTACTGCGTAGTACCGTGTGTAGTACTGCGTAGTACGTGTAGTACTGCGTAGTACCGTGTAGTACTGCGTAGTACCCTGTAGTAACTGCGTAGTACCGTGTAGTACTGCGTAGTACCGAGTGTAGTACCGTGTAGTACTGCGAGTACAGTGTAGTACTGCGTAGTACCGTGTAGTACTGCGTAGTACCCTGTAGTACTGCGTAGTACCCTGTAGTACTGCGTAGTACCGTGTAGTAACTCGTAGTACCGTGTAGGTAGTACCGTGTAGTACGTGTAGTACTGCGTAGTACAGTGTAGTACTGCGTAGTACCGTGTAGTACTGCTAGTAGTACCCTGTAGTACTGCGTAGTACCCTGTAGTACTGCGTAGTACCTGTAGTACTGCGTAGTACCGTGTAGTACTGCGTAGTACCCTGTAGTACTGCGTAGTACCCTGTAGTACTGCGTAGTACCCTGTAGTACTGCGTAGTACCGTGTAGTACTGCGTAGTACCGTGTAGTACTGCGTAGTACCGTGTAGTACCGTGTAGTACTGCGTAGTACAGTGTAGTACTGCGTAGTACCGTGTAGTACTGCGTAGTACCCTGTAGTACTGCGTAGTACCCTGTAGTACTGCGTAGTACCGTGTAGTACTGCGTAGTACCCTGTAGTACTGCGTAGTACCGTGTAGTACTGCGTAGTACCCTGTAGTACTGCGTAGTACCGTGTAGTACTGCGTAGTACCCTGTAGTACTGCGTAGTACCGTGTAGTACTGCGTAGTACCCTGTAGTACTGTACCCTGTAGTACTGCGTAGTACCCTGTAGTACTGCGTAGTACAGTGTAGTACTGCGTAGTACAGTGTAGTACTGCGTAGTACCCTGTAGTACTGCGTAGTACCCTGTAGTACTGCGTAGTACCCTGTAGTACTGCGTAGTACAGTGTAGTACTGCGTAGTACCCTGTAGTACTGCGTAGTACAGTGTAGTACTGCGTAGTACCCTGTAGTACTGCGTAGTACCCTGTAGTACTGCGTAGTACCCTGTAGTACTGCGTAGTACCCTGTAGTACTGCGTAGTACAGTGTAGTACTGCGTAGTACCGTGTAGTACTGCGTAGTACCGTGTAGTACTGCGTAGTACAGTGTAGTACTGCGTAGTACAGTGTAGTACTGCGTAGTACAGTGTAGTACTGCGTAGTACCATGTAGTACTGCGTAGTACAGTGTAGTACTGCGTAGTACAGTGTAGTACTGCGTAGTACAGTGTAGTACTGCGTAGTACAGTGTAGTACTGCGTAGTACCCTGTAGTACTGCGTAGTACAGTGTAGTACTGCGTAGTACAGTGTAGTACTGCGTAGTACAGTGTAGTACTGCGTAGTACCTGTAGTACTGCGTAGTACAGTGTAGTACTGCGTAGTACCGTGTAGTACTGCATAGTACAGTGTAGTACTGCGTAGTACAGTGTAGTACAGTCAGAAGTTGTGTAAAATGTGCTGACATTTCAGTCTTTTATTTTGTAGTATTGCTTTAGAGTGACGTAGGCCTGAGTTCAGTGCTGCTCAAGAGAGCAGGTCAGTTCGCTGCAGCAAACAGGAAGGGGCGGGACGACCGCGGTGAGTCTCATTCTGCCATTACTGGAGCCGTAAAGATAAAGCCGCTCACAAAATGCCATGTGTTCTTATGTCCTTTAGGAAGTAGAGCAAATGAAATGAGATAAAACCTGAAGTGGTTCCAGTTTGACTCGATGACCAACCTGTTGGAACTGTGGTCAGTTTTAAATATGTTGTGACAGTCAGCTCAGTTTTGCTCTATTTTTCAGGAATGTTTTCAGAGACTATTGTTGAAGGAGATATCGTGTTCTTGGGTTACCCAACTGGAGGTTGTTGAGTTAAAATGTTAAAACTTAACATTTAACTTGAGTTTTAACTCATCTCAAGTTTTAACTTATTGTGTTTTCAGCTGGTTTGGTCTCATGAGCTGCAGACTAACAGAGAATCTTTTCATAAAACTTTCACTGGCAGGTAAAATAGGAGGTAATAGTTTGAGTTCATGAAGGCGTCGATGTTTTCCTCTGGTAACTACAGAACGTCTATTAGACGTCATTTGTTGACAGTGGAATAATTATCCTTAGCCAAACTAAATGGTAACATTTACCTTCAGCATCCAAAATGTTTTACTCGATGCACAAATTGTTGACCATGTGATTCTATGAATGAGTTTTATTTTATTGTTTTACAGTCAAAAAAACTTTTTCACCTTGGAACACTAAATTGTTTAACCATAATTTTCCCCTATATAAGACTCTACCAACAAAAAGTCTCAGAATAACATAGATGCCACAGTAAAAAAAAAATGTGAATTATTGCTTGTATCTGTTTAACAACCTGGGTTGTTGTTTCTTCTGCACCTAATTCATTTGTTTATTTCGTTTTGCTCAAATAAATTTCTGATATAAACATTGTAAATTGTATTTTATAATAGTTGATCATGTTGTTTTTCATGTCTCCTTATTTCTTTTGTTCCTCCTATAATTGATGGAAATGTATAGATATTATTTACATTATCATTTAATTATCTATACATCTTTAAGAAAATGAACAAATATGGTGTTTTATAAGATAATTGGACTTTTACGGTTCCAGTAATGCTGTAATTAATATTTAATAATAAAGACTTTGTGCTATTCTGATTTAATAATGTAAATAGATTAGTTGTGTTTCCACCCCTCGCCACTAGAGGCAGTATCAGACCCAAAAGATACGACTAAGGTGCAGATTAACAGTATCTGTTAACACTGTGAGCTGAAGTAAATAAAAGAGAGAAGATGAAATTCAAGCTGGGAGTGAAAATCCTTCCTAACGGTGAAAATAAATCACAGATTTCAAAAGAAAATAAAAATTCTCATTTCCTCCTTCCTGGATCCTGACAGACAAACCATCTTGTTCACTGCAAATACCTAAGAACCTAACCCACAAGTAGTACTGGGTAGTACTGGGAATAGTACTGGGAGTAGTACTGGGTCGAACTGGGAGTAGTACTGTGTGCAGCCTCACAGGCAGTGGACCACGGTGCGTCCCTCGCCGCCATCGTACTCGTCCTGCCATTTGTCCACCTGGTGGACAAGCTTCAGGAAGGAGCGCTTGGAGACGGGTGTGTCCCGGTACATGGGCCAACCCAGGAACTGGAACTGCTGCACCATGCGGTACCCGTCCTGCGGCTGGAGGGGGACAGGAGGAGACGGGGACAGGCTTTAAACCAAACGCACCCTGAGAGGCGGGTGGAGAGCTGGATCAAAGGAAGGAAGTTCTCACAAGGTTAGCAGGAGTTTAACAGGAAGGTTTTTAAAAAGGAAAGCACAAGTCTATGAAGTCTATGAGGCGTTCAGGGCAGCTGGGAGACTGTAGGCTCCAGACCCGGGAGCTGAAGGTGTGATCATGAAACGCACCCTGGCGGTGTTGTAGATCCTGAAGATGCGGCTGATGACGTCTTCCTCCAGGTCCGCAGAGACAAACTCTACCTGCAGCGAGCCGAGGCGGTGGACGCCGTTCTCCGGCCAGTACTGGGGACACAGCTGAGACAGAGACGTCCATCAGCTGCCAAACTGCGTTGCTCGCTGCTCACCACTGACCTGTGACCTCACCTGGGCGGGGTCCACGTCATTCAGCATCACGATGGACGTGCAGTGGTAGTCTAGAACCAGGCGCCAGAAGTCCTTCACCGTGTTGGGCAAAGGATGCTGGGTAACGATGAAGGCCGACGGCTGCTTGTAGCTCTGCAAGACACCGATGCAGGAAGTGAGGTCACGCGGCAGAACCCTGCTGGGGTTAGCTCTACTGTAGTGTGACGTACGTCCATGAGCGCGGCGTTGATGTAGTTGGAGCTCTCGCCGTCGATGGTGATGAGGAAGGGCAGGCAGCGGTCCGGCGGCAGGACGTCCATGCAGCGGTTCTTCTCGTGGTTCCTGGGCAACAGCGCGATGCTGCAGTCCTCCACGCGCAGGGTGGGCGTCACCATGTTGAGGGTCTGAGAGTGCAGACGGAAGCCATGTTGGATGAGAAGGTTGGAAAGAAAACATGAAACGGATTCAGAGCAAAATATTCTGGACTTTAAGGACGAGCAGAGAAAAACTTTAAGATTTACTTCAAAAAATTTTTATTATTATTTATAACAACAATAATGAATCGTAGATTTACTGGAATCTGAACTTTCAAAAGAAAAAAATTTTTACAAAAAATATTTTCTTCTTAAAAATAGAATTTAAATGTGTTTTTATATTTAATTCTTAACATTTGATTTGTACAATGTTAAGTAATATAACCAGGTATTAGACTGTTATGGCCAATATCATGTTTTCATAACCAGGTTGGCTATAATGTCATTTTATTTAATAATAATAATAATAATAATGATAACGATAGATGACGTCATCAATACATAAATGTGTTTAATCTGGATTTTTTAGGAAAATGTTCTATATTTGTTTTTTATGCTTTCTGGATATCTGATGTGATTTTTTTCCCATGATCCTCCAGTCCTAATCATGTGCTGGTGGCGCTGCCCCCTGCTGGCCGTACCCTGAACTCCTCCTTGATCTGGCAGGAGTTGGTCTGGGGGTCCAATCGGTTCATCTCGTAGTAAAGCGAACGCAGCTGATTGGCCGGAACAGCGGTGTTCCCACAGAGACACGCCTCCAAGATGGCGTCATGGATGAAGACGTACTGCTCCTGTGGACAAAGAGGGACAGACGGCATCAGGGCAACAGGATGAGAAATGTCACGTCAGCCATGATTTATGTCCACAGGAGGAAGAGGAGAAGGAGGAAGGCCGGGATGTTATGCTGCTGTCACTTCCTGTCAGCTGGAGGACTGCAGGAGATGAAGAACCTGAGGAGCTTCATCTTCCTCATTGAGCTCAGAGTGAGGAAGATGAGGGTGATGAGAGTGGGTCAGTGACAGAGGTCAAAGGTCAGAGCCCAGGGCAACAAGGCAGTTCAACATCAGAATTCCGAAAAATACATTTACATTTTGTTGATTTTCGCCATAAAAATCGTCATCAATATAAATGAATATATTGATTCAGAAACCAGTGTAAATGACCTTATTAGTATTTTGTGTTTCCTCATTTAAAAACGAGTATTTAACATAAGAATTAATGCTTTTATTTTGAAAGGGTTTGAAACGGAAGAGTGGTGAAGTGACGTCAACGTTAGACAATTAACTGACAATTAACTGACAATTAACTGCTGGTCATTACGCAGAAAGAGAGAGCGCTCAGGTGGAGTAAAGCTAATGAAGGTGTGGTTCAGATTAGGGTGTAGACAGTCAGTTGGTGGCGCTTGGTTGATGGGGAACAAGGTGAGAGTTTTTAATATGTAAATATATATTTAGTTTTACTGTAAAACGTAATTTGCTTTGGGTGTGACGGTTGTATTATTATACGGCACTAATATTCGTTAATTAACCGTTAATAGTTAATATGTTGCACTTTATGACAGGTTTAATCACAGAATGTTAGAAAAATGATTTATATGTTAAAGTAAAATGTGAAAACAACACTGTTTGAGTTATTAATGTATTTTATTTATGTTCTGTAGTTCTTACAGTGTGTTCACATGAAAAGGCATTAAATAAAAGATTGTTGTTTGAGAGAGAACCAGTAGGTCCAGAACCAGTAGGTCTAGAACCAGTTGGTGCAGAACCAGTAGGTCCAGAACCAGTAGGTCCAGAACCAGTTGGTCCAGAACCAGTTGGTCCAGAACCAGTTGGTCCAGAACCTGTAGGTCCAGTAGACCCAGTAGGTCTAGAACCAGTTGGTCCAGAACCAGTAGGTCTAGAACCAGTAGGTCCAGAAGAAGTAGGTCCAGAACCAGTAGGTCTAGAACCAGTTGGTCCAGAACCAGTTGGTCCAGAACCAGTAGGTCCAGAACCAGTTGGTCCAGAACCAGTAGGTCTAGAACCTGTTGGTCCAGAACCTGTAGGTCCAGTAGAACCAGTAGGTGCAGAACCAGTAGGTCCAGAACCAGTTGGTCCAGAACCAGGAGGTCCAGAACCAGTTGGTCCAGAACCAGGAGGTCCAGAAGCAGTATGTGTCTCCATCCTCCTGGTTCTAGTCAGAACCTTCTGGACTGCTGGTTTGTCATCAGACCTGCTGCTGGAATCAAAGCTTCTCAGATTTTTAGTCCTCTGGTTCTGAAATGTTCTGTTTAAAGAAACTTTTCAAAGTTCAGATCAAATTCACTTCACACTGAGTTAATATTCTGCAGTTCTGCTGCTGAACTGAACTCAGACTCTGAGCATTTCTGATAGCAGACGCCGTCTATTTTTACTTCATATTGCACAACAGCAATAATAAGAAGAGATATCAAGACTATATTAGCAGCAAAGCCATAAATTACAGTGAAATACTGGAAGAGCTGTAATGGTTTCCACTGTCAGCCTCTCAGGAATACGGGCAAT